AGTTTTTTTTTCTTTTTTCTTTTATTTAAGACTGTGGAAGTATTAAAACTGTCAAAAGATGATGATCGTTTACGGATGGTTTATACTAAGAACAACGAAGTCATTTTCAGCACTCACTTTATTCAAAATGGTTCTTATAAATTTCTGGCAAACGTAAGAAAAAAAAGAAAATTCGCGAATTTAATTGAAACTTTTAGGTTGATAAAAAATCATATACTTCATCATTCGATCTGAACGTCCATTTGAATCCTCAACAGTAAATATTAACTTAGATATTAAAAAAAATAATTTGTTTTTTGTAGATCAAACAATTCATCTCCAGTTGAAATTATGGCTATGGATACATTTGCTTCAGATGCAATGAAAATGATCATGGCTCTCAATAATTATCTTGAAGAAAAACAAACCGTAAATAATGCATCAGAAACTCGTTTATCCACCAGTATGTCATCGTGATATGGCTTGATACACATCTATCTGAACATGAATTTTTATTTTAAATCATTTCATCATTTTGATTTATAAAAGAATAAAAAGAATAAAAATAAAGATTTATCACTTATAAAATATCTTCATCATGTTAAATTCAATCTTTATGCATCTCATGATAATTACGTTGTACTTTTTCTACCTGAAACGGAAATGATATTGCACATGAAATATATATTTTCCCAGCAAAAATCGATTTAATTGTAGGAGAAATAGATCATAGAATGAAAAAAAAAATTCTGTACGGTAACGTTAACAATTTTTGTATACATTTTCAACCTCATACAAAATTTATCTTGCACTACGTCTTTTTCTTGCTTTGTCACATTCTTGAGTTAAATATTTGAAATTAGATAAAGAAATGATGGAATATATTACATGTAGTTATAATTATTGTATATATGTTAATGTTAAAGTTCTATTTTTGTAAATTGTATTTGTACAATATTTTCTTTTTCTTTCCATATGTATCAATTCTTTATTTATGATTTTTTACAAAAAAATATGCATAAATTAGTGAGTATACTTTTATTTGTAACAACATTTCCACTGATATTGCTTTGGAACTACTGCCCATTTCAAAATAAAAGGCATGTGAGTATTTTTGAATAAATTTTGATAGGAGCAAGATAGAGAGCTACAGTTTTCACCGTTGGAGAGGCTGATTCAACGCATCGATTCATATAAAATTGTTAAGGTTCACCTCGAGAATAGGTAGTGATCGATTGTCATCTTGAAAGAGAAGACTACTGCTCTTTGAAAATAGTACAAATCTTAAACTTCGAGGAGTACGCTAGAATCGCCAGCTCAAGACCTACAAAACTGTATATGACGCTTTATTCAAAACTTTACTGGTTTGGGAGTTCTCGGTTCTATATTCCACAATTATAGTCCATTTTGCCAGCGATTTCTGTTAAAAAACTCAGTTTTTTTCGTTTTTCCTGAAAAAATCGCACCTGTTTTTAAGGCATTTTTTTCTTCCACAATTGCAAAAGGTTTTAAAGATCCAAGTTAAAAGTCATTGTCTTATATGATTCGATGTGTTTTCATCTGCTCTTTCCAACGGTGAAAATCGCAGTTCTCTATCTTGTTTCTATCAAAAGTTATTCAAAAAATACCCATGTGCCTTTTATTTTGAAATGGGCAGTAGTATTTTCTTTTATTCTTTTCTCTCAATTAGAGTATCTTTAATCCGTTTTTCTTCGTTTAATTTCAATAATTAATGTTAATCTATCTGAGGAAAATAGTCTTTTACAGGTTTAATACATTTATATCTATCAACTAGATGTACAGAAGCCAGTTTTGCACAATTGATTCGCGTTGCATGTCTTTTGAAATTTTCTGTAATCCTTTTCATTGTTTCATAACAGACAATAAGACGAACAGTATTCGGCAGAAACACTTCCGTATGAAGTAGAAATTGTTCCACATAATCATCATGAGCTTGAAGAAGAGTGAGTCGAGTAAGATGAGGATATCTAATAATTGATAAATCTTGATTGTCGTTCTTCGATTTTCTATATAATTTATTCTTCTGTGGTTTTT